AGTGGTGGTGATAGAAGCAAAACAGTTGTACAATAATGGCCCTGCCTAGCACTGACTCATGAAACTGGCAGCAGGGACTAAGACAAAAGTATACAACTGTAGTGAGTGGAGACTTGCTTAGCTCATTCTTTAAACACGATATAGTCCTTTATTTGCAGGGCCAGTGGCCTCAAATGTATGCCACAAGTGTATATCAAAATTCAATAACGCAACCTTAACATAGTGTGTAAGGGTGCACTCACAGTCCCGAGTCTTCTCCAGCCCTTGAGAGGTGTCTCTGGCTTCCTGCTGCGCTCTCACACTGCTGTCTTCCTTCTTCAGCTGTCTTTGAATCACTTCTCTAACACGGTGCTGCTCCTTTCCACCTTGCAGCCCTGGATCATCTCCCAGGCCCTATGTCAAGGACTAACTCCCTCTCTCTCTTTCACTTCCTCACTCTCCAACCAGTTCTCAGCTTGCAGCTTCTCTCCCTCTCTTATATCTCAGACCTCTGTCTCTGTTCTCTGGCACCTTTCCTCAGGCACCTAACTCTGCACTCTGGCTCCTTTCCCCAGGAGCCTAACTCTCCTCTCTCAAGTCTCTCTCCCTGAATTCTTTCCCTGGGAGCCTTTTAACTTCCTTCAGTCAGCCAATTATCTGGCATACCTGGGCCAGCCCTCTGGACAGGCCTGTAATTAAGCCTTACTACCTGGAGCTGTGGAGCAGCCCCTGCAAACCAGTAGCCTGCTAAAGTCATCCTAGGCAGCCTGTAATCAGTGCCTTACTGTCTTCATCTGGGATGTAGCCCCTGCAAACCTGCTGACAGCTACAGCTAGACTTGTAGCCTTTGGATGTACAGCTGAATGTAGCCTCTGCCAGCCAGCCTGCTACAACAGCATTAATTTGTTGTGGTCAATTTCTATGCAAAAATTGTCACTTGCTTTTCCTTTGTTTGGTGTATCATGGCAATGCCATGAGATGACATTCACATTTACATACAGTTGTTTCTTTTTAAAGGAAAATAACTGTAGTACTCTCTTTTCCAGTTACATATTAATCTTTACAGGGAAATTAATGAAGTCTTAAATCAGGTACTCTACCTCCGAGTCATCTCTTTGATCATTATTTTCATCCTCTTGTCCTCCATTTTTCGGCATATAGGCCATCTTCAGTCTCAAGAAACCCTTTACCCGAGATTTGTGGCTGAAGAACAAAAACAACAGTAACTAAGAAGAATATGAAACATCCTTTTTAAAACCAAAATATGTTAAATCCCATCAATTTTCTTAGATACAAAGCTCTTCACTCACCTTCTTGGTCTGAGAAGAAAATCCTTAAACGTGTATGGCCGTTCCATGGTTGGGTCTTCTGTCTACAATTAGAAATGACAAATTAAAAGTGTTGAGGCTCAAGAAGATGCATATCGTATACACCACATCCAGCAAAAAGATGTATTAGCAAAATCTGTGTATGCACTGAGGCAAGCCAATCTTTGTCAGTTAAGTGCATGTTGGTACTTTATTATTGCATAGCATGTCCACTAGATGTCACTATCAAAACCAATTTTAGTATACGTGCTGCCGAAGTGGGCATGTAAGCCGGACCAGCAGTCTTTGCCATTACATACACAAATACTTACATATTAAAGAAGAGAGGAGGGGGAAAAATGACCAAAATGACTCTCTAAAATATTAGTGCAGTACACTGGCTCCAGTTGGCCCCAAGACCATCAATATCAAAAATTATATAATCTGTGCCTCCTAGAAAAAGATAAATACTACTAATTTATATAATTAACTCCCGTTTTAGGATTTAAAGCACTTCAGATAAGACTTCCAACACCATGTGAGATAGATGAGTAAAACTAGTCATCACATGAGCTTTGTGATATCTGAGGTCTTGCTCTAGGTAATGAGGTCTTTTTTATACATCGTAAGTGTCTCATTTACGAAAATAAATTTCTAGCCTTCAGTTTTCTGGATAGAGGCCTGGCAACATGAACTATAAAGCCCCAAGGACCAGAATGTAAATAAAAGAAACAAAGAATTTATATACATATGAAAAAATAAACAATGAAGCAAGCTATGAATATATATTTTTGATGTTAGGTAAGTAAAATTTTTAGAAAACTATTTTAGTCAGGTTTTTCCCCCTCCCTTCTTTCCTATATTTGTAAATATTTATGTATGTGGTCGCAATGATACCTGATCCAATTTATATGACTTCATTGTTTCATTTTGGCACCTGACTGAAGATGTTCGATGGGGCTGGCAATAGTGAAAGTACGCAGTTGGAATGTGAATAATGCTCACACCGAGGTAAGGCAGATCTTATTTTCTGATATGACAAGCACCCACAAAATGTTGAGCAGTTGCTCAGTATCCCTTAAACCAGGTCACAGGTATTTCAAATTAATGTCTCCAGTCCCACCAAATAAGTGGACACATCTGAAAATGTTGGCTCAGCTAACATTACCACTGTGGGTAAAGCTGGAAATCACTCCCCAAGAACACTGACTTCTAACATGACCACAAGCATAAGGCACCCTGTCTCCTGAAGCACTGCAAACTGAAGTCTTATTGTACGTTTGTGTTTCAGAATAAAACCACTTCTCTTGCATTTCTAAGAAATGTGATGCCTTGCCATTTTTTCTACTGTGAAAAAGTTCTCCATTCCCCCTGGTCATTTCCTTAATTCCTTTTTTGCACTTTATTTTTGTGAGTTCATGGCTTCCTTCTTCCTGAGAAGCGGTAGTTTTTAGTGGATAAAAGTGTAAAATTTGTATAGGTTGAGATTTATTACTTATATAATACACTTTATCTTCTCTGAGTGCTATATAGGAGGTAAGCAAGTAATTCTCCTAGGTGTTTATTTAGTTAATCCCATTTTCAGATGATAAAACTGAAGTACAGAGAAGAATAGAGACCAACTGCATGGCCTAAAGGAGAACTAAAGCAAAGAATATTTCACAGCTATATTACAATACTTCTCAGTATCATACAGAGAGACTTAATGAAAAAAGGATTTTGTTTTCAGTTTTACTGATCAAAAAAAAAAAATCACTATAATGTTACCCAGAGCATCAAATTAATAGAGTTATCTTATTGCATTTCATGTCAATAACTGAGTACGATGCAGTCTGGAATCTTAGTCATGCACAGGAAAACATCAAGTAGAGACATTATCACGTCATCCTAGAAAACCAGGGGTGCAAGTGCTAAAGTATCTGTCAGAAACTTCTCCACTGTAAATTTTTGTACAGAAGCTGGCGGGTTGATTCCTGAAGTACACTGGATTAGTGAATGGATTTGAAGTATGGAGCATTTATATTATCTAGTGAGCCTCAGCAAAAGGAGATGTGGGGGTTAAATGGTGCAGGTTAGATTCCTGCAAATTTACTAGAAGGGCATTCACAAGCACAGCCTCAGGGTAAATGAGCAAATCAACAAGTCTTTAGATTCTATGTATGCAGAGGCAATCAAGGAATTCGGGATGTTTTGGAAGAATATTTTGATTACTAGATCTTGGCTAAAAAGCAAATGCCTGATTATGCTTCCAATAAAACAAATCAGAGGAAAAGAACAGTCATCATTGTACTTAATAAAGGGGAAAACAGGGAGCAGCTAATGCCTCAAACTAACTTACACAATGTGTAGCACAGTTATGCTTCTATTTTGGCTCCTACTCATTATTTCATTTTGAAAAAGTAATGTTGACTAAAAAAAGGTATTTGAATATAACTTATTCATCAAACCATATGTGCACTGCAACATCTTATGTGGCTTAATGTTCTATTATAGCAGCAGGGTTTATCACATGTTTGTAATATGAAGAATAACATACTCCCACACATTACAGTGCATATATGGGGGTGTAAATCACTCTTTTCTCATTAGGATTTATTTTCTTCCTAGCAACATGATAAGGCACATCAGACTCTTTACACTACTGTAATTTGCAAGAAGTCTGTAATAGCATTCTGGCTCAGGGTGACTTTTTCTAAAAAAAAAAAAAAATCATAAATAGCTCCCATATAACACAAGCACACAACTAAATACAGCATGAAAAATAGCTATAGAGCCTGTAGGAATTAAGAAGTCACCTTTGTCCAAATAAAAAGAATATCCCTTCTAATAAAGACATTTTTATACTGGTATAAGTATTTTCCATTTGCATCTACTGTTAGTATGCTCATACACTTAGCCAGAGAAAACCCTCATCAGACAACAAGAGGCTAAGATATGCAGCATTTAGTATAATAAAATATATTTAAACAATGTCAAGCTTGAAAACAAAACAAAAAACCCATTAGTATATCAGAAAATCTATGCCAAGTTATAAAATGAAATAGCTTCTTTGCTTTATTTACAAAACTAGTTGATAGAAAGCCTGCCAATAAATGAAACAAAAATGTGTAAATATTTAAATATGCAGAAAATAAAATTACTGGTGTTTAAAACTTTGTGTCCTGGAGCTTTCCCATTTGAACATTTAGCTAGTCGATTCAACATTGGCATAGAGTGGGAGGTAGAACATGCAGAGCACAAAAAAAGCAAATAATGGGTGCATCCATATCTGCACTTTACTGCAGAATTGACTAATTAGCTCTGCGGTAAAAGTGTCACTGTCTACAAGAACGCCAGTGTTATAGTGCAGAAGATTAATTAACTCTATCATAAAATGGGGAGCAGTACTATCTTATGGTGGAGTAATTAACTGCACTGAAACTCATGTAGACAGTGAACAGGGTTGGGTGGGGAATGAGGATGCAAAAGTGCGGGGGCTGCTGCCTGCTGCCCTGTGTCACACTGTAGCACCCTCATGCCCCATCCAGCCCCTCTGCCACCCAACGCCAGTACCTGGAACCCGGGGCTGACCCCTTGTGTCTCCTGCCAGCCCGGGACTGCTCCACCCCAGCTCTAACTGCTGCGGTCCCCAGTCAGTGCACATGAAGACGCTTCACCTGGGAGCAGCTGACTCCAGCACAAACTTTGCCAGAGCTTATTCAGGCACACTAATTGCACTTGTAGATGTGCCCAATATGTAAAAAATCTGTCCCAGTCTGTAACCACCATTTAAGGCTTGTTCATAAACAGTAAACTATCAAACTAACTGTCTTTAAGCAAGGGATCCAGCTGTTCCACTCTCCTCACTGATACAACTGTAAAGAGTTGAACAATGCTGAAACTCTGGCACCTGCTCACTTATTTTTTCTAAAGGAATAACTTTGAGTCCCTTTAAGCACTGACAGTTAAATCCTGGCCCATATTGGAATCAGTTCAAGTTTTTCCATGGGACTAAGATTATACCTAGGATTCTACTTATGGATTCCTGAGCTTTGAACAAATTCAAGTCTGCAGCTTTCCAGAGGGATGGAATATAGGTCAGCTAGAAAGCATAAGCTATAAAACCTGAATGTGGAGTTTTGTATTGCACTGGCAATATATCCACATGGACAGCAAAAATATACCACTAGAATTCAAGGGGAGAGTCTCCATCTTTGCTTATACAGTTCAATGGGGATTATATCTACCATATCTGCCCAAATCCAAGTTGACTTTGAATTAAAAACAACCCCCCCAATAATTAGATTCTACAAGAGGAAAACATTATATATGTTGGCCTAACCCTGCACCCCTTACTGCTCCTTGGTCCCCTATTACTTGCCCCCTTTGCTGTCATCCCTCTTCCCTGCCACTGCTTACCAATGCGGCTGCTCTCGCCACAATGGTCCTGGCCCCAGCCAGGAAGCAGTGGCATCAGTTCTGGTCCTAGGCCCAGGTCGCGGCTGGAGCCAGAGCCAGAGCTGCAACAGCTCCCCTGTTGCTATGCAGTCCCCTGCACTTTTCCTACATCGCAGGCCACAATGTTCCCCACACTGCCCACCCCATCTCTCCCAGTCTCGCACACTGTGCAGTCTCCTTGCCGCCCTGTGCTCATTCACCTCCCCCCATACACACACTTGCACCATGCAGACTTTTCTGCACTTCTCCCCACCACTCACTCACACTATGTGGTCTCCCCCATACCCTTGCACAGCACAATCTCCCTTACATTCTCCCCACCCAGCACAATCTCCTGTGTTCCCCACCCCCTCCCCACAGGGCAATCTCTGCCCTCTACACTCCCCTCCCCACACACAGGCACTATAGACACCTATACACATACATTGAAGCTGCTCTGATGCACTCTCCTCCATATCCTCCCCCCTCCCCCAATACACACTACCTGGTCTCCTTCACACTCCCCCTGCCATGCAAGCCCCACTTGGGCAGGCAGCAGTGGCAGTAACAGATAGCTGTTGTGGCTCTGGCTCAGGTTCAGTAAATTTAAGTACATACACTAATTTAGGCTGGAATTTGGTCTGCTATGTTGAGATTGTATTGAACCTTTGGAAGACTGAGAAGAAAGAGACAACTAGAGTCTTACAGAATTGAGTTACAAGACAGGCCTTCCAATTGGAACTCACTCACTTTCCAAAAAAATGAGAGGTACATAGGTGACCAGTGACAATTAAATGAATGGAACTCATCATCCACTTTTATTAGAACAGTTCAACAACTCAATGTTTTACAAGGACTTATGAATCATCCTGGGCCAATTATTTTTTAATTAATCATCTTTCAATTGCAGCTCTGACCAGTAATAAGCTCCCCAATGGTTTCATTACAAGCAATGGAAAAGATACACTACTTTGTTCCCAAAAATCTATAGTTTTGTGTGGCTTTAGAAAAGCAAATCTGTCAAACTGCAACTTTACCCAGGCCTGTTTTGCCAAAACAAGTGCCACTGTTTGCCACTATATATTTGTGTCCAACACATGAAGTCGATACTAGCAGGCAAAATCCAGCTTTTATGTCACGTGAATAAAACTATCCCCACAAATGGCACATGATTTCCCTTGAACTACAGCCATCAGCAAAATGACCATGTGGACATGCTCTAATGACAGCCATGCCAACCGCTGTGAAGGAGCAGGTCTCTCTCTCTACAGTGCACCAGGTTTTCTGCTGACATCTGTCTGAGTGAGAACACACAAGATTAGGAAGAGCTGCAAACTATGCATAGCTCCAGAGAACCAGCAGCGTTGGCAGCTGAATGTCAAAAACTCTGGGAGAGAAACTTTCTAGAGCAGACGTAACCTCAGACGCTACACTTACCACTTAACCTGTCAGTGGACAGTTCAAAAAGTCCAAACATCATGAGAAGGAGAAAAAGTTGCCAGCTGTCAGTGTTTGAGATTTAACCTGGGCTGAGTATGCTCTTTCAAATGATCTGAGAGAATTCTCCCAGGTTTGTTCTCCTGATAGAAAATCTTATCTGAAGACATTTGAACAGACACTTGAATGCTGAGCCCCTGAAGTGCTAAGCTTGCAGTGCTGATGCTGCACAGCCAGGGGGTCCTGTGTGCCCATCTCAGTATGCCCGGCACACTCCTTCAGCCTGCCCCAACACTGAACGGCAGCACCAAGCAGGGCAGCCTTGCCTGGCTGACAGGCTACCTGTGCCTTCCTGTAGCACAATGTGGGGATTATGAAGGGGGCATTTTCTGCTCCATGCTTAGCTGGAGTAACAAAGTCCAGTGAGTGACACACTTCTGGGAGGAGGTGAGGGGAAGGGGGGAGAGGGAAGGAGGGGGAAGGCAAAGTACCCTTGGATGCTGTGACTTCTCCCAGAATAAACTTTCTTGGGAGTGATTTAACCCAGGTTGTCCCAGGTTATTTTTCTCTTGAAACAGCCGTTTTTGCTCTGGGAGAAAAGTCCTGAACATCTGTACACTCATGGCTTCACCTGAGAGAAGAGCGACTACCTGGAGAAAATAAAGGTCTGTACATGGCCCTGGTCAGCTGGAGATAAGTGCCATAAAAGCTAAACAGATACTAGGAGAGCTTTTAGTTTTGAAATGTCACGCAGCATATCTAGCAATGAATATCAGATTACTGGCAACCTGCAGCCCATGGGCAATATCGAGCCCATCGCGCCACTGGATTTGGCATTGAGCTGGAGGGGCTTCAGAAATGCTTGGTGGCAAGGGTGGGGAAGGAAGGTTTGCCTGCACTATACCATAGCTGGTTGGCTTTAGTGGAAGAGGGCTTCACCCATACTGTGTTGCTCCACAGCCCAGTGGCAGGTCAGGTAGCAGGGAGAAATGGCAGCAGAGACCAGTTCCTAGTACCGGCCTGCCTTGGATCTGAGTTGGGTCATTCTGGCTTGTAATTCGAAAAAATATTCCAAATATTTAAAGTGTTGAAATTTAAAAAAAAATTGCACTGTACTTTCATTCACTATACCATAGCACAGTAAAAAATAGACTAGTACACTTTAGCTGCAGAAATATCTTGAGTACACACTAATATATATTAAAAGCTGCAATTTATTTATTAAGAATGGAAAATTGCTTGAATTATTATTTACCATTTCTAATATGAAAGAAATATTACATCTATACTGTTGAATATTGGTACTCTTTTGCATGATTATTTTAGCATTACTTGGATTGGAGTTCCAATTAGTACTTCAAAACAGTGAGATTATTTATATTAGTCAAATATGCTACAGTAAAAGAGGTCCCTCTTTAAGATAGTTGTATTTTTAATGTTTTTTCTTCTTTAAAAAACTAACTCTCTCTCTCACCTACTGATTTCTACAGGTGGCTGCTAATCCCTGTAGCAGTTGTTTTGCACAGGGACTGGCTATCAAGAGAGTTTTCTGGTAATTTAGGATACAGACAAAATTTACTGTGAACTGAAAGGTGCTCCCTCACATGCTCCAAAACAAATGCCCACATGTGTGCGCACCTACCTTATGCCACACACAAAAGTGAAATTGTGGTAGTTTCATTCTCAATGACAGGAGTAATCTCTTTTGGTTTAACTTTCATCTGCCATAGGATAAAGTATGTACATGAGGTTCTTGATGCCCTGTAGAGCCCTAACTATTTTACCCCACAGTAAATGGTTTGCATGTATATATCCTTGCTCTATAAGACACCCAGACACTTGAATGGGAGCTTCTTAAATCCTTCCAGGTTCTCATATTCCAGGCTATAGTTTTGACTCTGAACCAGTGTTCAAAACAGATACAGCACCTTTCCAGATAGGGCACAGACTGTCTTCCCCTAAATGGCATGCAAGCTTATTTCAACTGACTATGCACATAACTAAAGCGGTAGATACGTCACTAGGAAAGGAGGAGCTGAAGTAGGTTAGCAATGGAAAGCAAAGTAAAAGCTGTGTGTGTTAAGATGTTTAGAGGAAAGAGAATTTGCTTGGCTCCCACAGAGTATGTCCATGCTGCTGCAATGGTACCCCTGAAAACACTGCTGAGAGGCATAACCTTCTCCTGCCGATTTGTGTTCTGCATGCCTCAAACGAGTGCTTTAAGGGCCCTGCTGTCATTCTGGAAATTGTGGTCTTCAGCCTCTGTGAGAATGGCAGCAGAAGGCACCCTCAAGGTGCCCTCTGCTATCTTACATTTCAAGGTTTGACTTATGCAGAATAGGACGAGAGGGTTAGGATGCATTTCTTGGCACTACTCTTAGGAATGCCATACAAACAGCATGCTCAGAGAGGGAAACCATCCAAACATGAAAGAAAGTTACAGGATGAAAAGAGGACATAGCAATAGTTAAGGAGAGGAATAACCAGGGCTTGGGCTACCAATGCATTCATCATTTAGCACAGGGTAGAAGAGGTGGACCCAAGGAAAAAGCAACAGAAGTGGATGACAGCATATATCTGCAATAAGGACTTTTTTAAAGAAAGGCACTTTCTGGAGGTAGAAGGGAGAGAATCTCGGATTACCTTCTTTCTAGTCCCAACAAGCTCAAGGAGCATGTGGGGTCATCGTACAGAACCAGGGGAGTCTCCAATTAGCCACTAATATTGCTGCAGTAATGATGGGAGATCAGACTGAACTACTTGTAGAGACAAGCTGCATAATGTTTATGGAAATTTCTCACGTGGGGTACAGACCACAGACAGGATGAGGACTTGGACATTTCTTACCGGAAGATGATTAAGTGGGACGTCTACTTGACCAAGGAAGTCGTCTCTAGTCTGTTAAACAGAAGAAAACAGAAATTAGTTCATTTTTAAATGAACAGGAAAGAGGAAAGAAGCTAAATGAAACACAGAACACCATATAGCTACCACAAGGACCACACTTTTCCAGCATTTTACCGTGAATGGATTCTACCTCCATAACTACTTCTATTAAGCAGATACAGTTCCCACATTTCATCAGTGTATTTCCAAAATTTCTGCAGTGTCCTTTAAAGTGCTTTCCTAGTCCACAGTACAATCCTCAGGTGTTACCATACTTCAGCTAAGATTTTGCCTGATGACCTGTTAACAGGCAGAAGGCAGGGTAGAGTTGTACCTTATAGACTGAATAAACTGCTAACAATGGAAAGTCTGAAATACGATTAAAGGTAAATTTCCAAGCCTTCCACTAGGATTCCTGGCATTATGCAAGTTACAGATTCTGGGCATATACAAGCTAAAAATAAGTCACCACCTATGAATTTAAACTTAAAACATTTCACATTAAGCATTTTTTCATTTTAATGGGGCCCCATTCACATGTACAGTGCTATTCCCTCCTAAGAGCAGAGTCAACTAGCCACTAAGGATAATGCTGGATGAGGATATATAAGCACTTTTCTCTCATGAAAAATGTGTCTAGAACAATACCACAAACACAGCAATTGTTTTTATGAACAAATACCAGGCTGATCTCAATGGTTCAGGAGAAAGTAACTTATGAGATGCAATAACTCATCCCAAAACCAGCCTTCTTATTACTTTTTCACTTCACTTTCTGGTGGTCTAGCCTATATTATGCATGCTTCATATGGCCTATATTACATATGCTCCTATTTTGACTACAACAACGTGGCAACTGATCTAGTTAATGTATTTGGTTGCAGATACACCAGTTACATCTGCTTGCATAGCTCTGCCCACACATGTGGTTTTATTCCTTTAAGGTATAGGAAAACTGCGTGCAGACACGCCCTGAGAGAGGACCACACAGGTAAAGCTTATCCTTAGGAAACGGTGGTAACTGTACCGGAGATATTTAACAGGTTTCACGAAAATAGCTTGATCCAAAATGGGGATTCGCAAACCATACAGGTAAACTCACAGGTGGTATGAGAACTAGATATTCCATCAGTTCACTTCAAATCAATTTAAGAAGATGCTACATAAACTGTTTAAGTTTGGGATCTGCTGCTCTACACTCAGAATCAGGACTGCTCAGCATCTGATTTGGCTCTGGCTTTCCTTTTCTGATCTTCTGACCTCCATACAAAGATGTTGTTTCAGTGTTGTGTTTACTCAAATAAGGCAGAAGGGCTCTGGATTTGTATTTGGATGAGACTGCCCTACTTGGATGTATTATAGATCCCTTGCTGTTCCAAGAACATGCTTGCCAGTCTATAAAGCTGATTTACTAAGTGAAGAGAGGAACGTGATACTGTATGTTTTAAGAATTTGCATGTGATGTTTGAATTACTTTTTGCCTTAGTGCATGAAATACCTGTAGTTCCTCATTCACCTACCTTTCTAATACTTGATACAACATCAGCTACAAGAATAGCCTAAATTAATAATTAATAAAAAAATAAAACAGAAAAAGATGCGAGGCTTCAAAATGTATACAACCTGCCTAAATATTTTTGTTGTCCTGCACTCCAACCCCATGATTAATCATTCATATCTAAATAAAATGGTAAATTCTTTGGGGCAGGGACGATAATTTACTATTTGTGCTGAACAGGATCTCTGGTATAGGATACCTTAAAAAACCCCAAGCATCTCAATAACATTTTAAACTGCAAAACAATGGTAAACAGAATACTCTGGTTCAGCAACAATTCTCTCTCTCTCTCTTTTTCCTCTCCAGCCCCACAAGAAGCCAAATGCTCTAATGAAGTGTCAATGGAGCTGTTAAGGAACTCCTTTATCTTTTGGACTGGATATAGATTGATGGTCCCAAAACATTCGCATGCTTTTTAGACCATCAGCAAAGGGGAAGATGTTTTCCAGCAGAAGTTGCTCTATATAACTTCATTCACAATAATTACAGTGCTATAGTGAGTGTCATGCAACATGAATACAATTTTATTTTAGTGTTACTTATACTGCTATTAAAAATGCAAAATGAGAAAAAATGATCTCATAAAAGCAATGTGACAATAAGGCTAAAGAAAAAATAAAAACACATCTGCATTTCCTGTTTTTAAGTTTGAGGTTCCCAGTGCATACTCAAATCCTCCCATTTGCTTAACATCATGATCTTCAAGTTAAATGAATCTATTATTAAAGATCCACCATGCATACAGAATAGAGGAAGTCAAGGAAAAATAGATCTTCGAATTCTAAGTACAGTACATTAGAACAGAATATCTGAAGACTACCGTGATAGCATAGAGAATTAGGCTTACAAATAAGTTTAAACCTCGCACTCTCACATTCATGACAGATTAAATCTGAATTGAAAGCATGGATGTGAGAGGTTTAGCACCCTGTTACCAACTTCGTATCAAGATCACCGCTAACACACACATATTTTGCTTCAATATTGTATTATTTACAAAACAGCATTAGATTTTAAATATTCATATCCATTGGTCTATAAAAGGTGTTCACATAGCCCAGCCACTTTTAAAAATCCCATAACAAAAACCAAAACCTGGGTCTTGCTTGTTTTTGTTTTGTTTTGGGGTGGGTTTTTTTGGCATCTTACATGCAATGAACTTGCCAATCTGAGCTCACTGCACTGAACAGAAATATTCCTGTTCCACTATAAACAAATCTCAACAAAGCTAATGATAAAAGAGCTCAAAGCTAAAATTAAAATGAGAAAGCTCCCCATTTCTGTTTGCATTATGCCTGTCAAGGGCAACACTTCCATATTAAAGCAAAGCTGATTATAAAAATAAACTGGAAAAATCAAGTCAGCTAGAATGTCAGTAGTTTGTCAAGTACAGAACAAGAGTGTATAAAGCTAACTGGCCGAAACAGGTGCTCTCCAAGTGACTATTGGATGCAGCGTTTAACAGAGCCTGGTTTCAAAACATGCCAGTGTTGCCAAAACCAGTGAAGTTACATAAACAGACTATGTGAACGAAGGGCACTTTTAACAAGCATAATTTAGATCAGAGACAAGGGTGGTCAGTGATAGCGTAGTCTAATCCAATGACAAGACATAAGGCTATTAAATCAGGAGGCTTGAATCCTAATGCCATCTCTGCCACTGATTGGCATAACTTTGGACAAATCTATTAGCACTCCTGCATCTCATTTTCCCAGTATCTCCAGGCACCTTTGCTAATGTCAATGTGAGCTCCACAGCTAAGGCACTGTTTCGTAGTTTCCGCCCCCCACCCCAGTGTGATGTGCAGATGTGCACAGTATAAAACTTCCAATCATCTACAGCAGTGTTTCTCAACCCATGTGCCATGAGAATATATGAATGGGTTGTAAGCAAACTTTAAAAATGAGGATCAACAAACTTTAAAAATGGATTCTCCTTTAAAAGAGAAAAACATGGTTAACTGTGGCTTTTCCTTTGCAGGCTGGCAGAGTCCCAGCCTGCGAGGGGCTGCTTGGGGCCCCCCTACTCCACTCCCCCTCCCCATCCTGCTCCACACCCCCTCCCTCTGCCCCACACATGACGGGGCTGGGGCTTGGGGGCACCGTCAGGAGTGAGGGGCACTGGGTTGGTACGGGCCATCAATGTTGACAAATGGGTCCTGGTATAAAAAAGGTTGAGAACCACTGATCTATAGAAACCCCACTGATGTAGTGTTGCAAAGAGAATAATGACTAATTAAAATTAACTTCAAAACCTTTAATGATATGCCTGGAAACTTCCCCTTTGGAACAAGTTCTATTTAAGAAGAGCAAGCTTGAGTAATTCTTTAAAAAGGTATGCTACTATAACAATGTGATTAATATGCTGTAATGCAATGCATTTAACCTGGCTAAAAGCTATTCCATAATGCATGTCATCAAGAAATATTAAATATTAATTAAATGGGTCTCAATTTCATGTGGTAAATAAGTTGTAACTATTTTGAAGTTTGGGAAACTGAGGCAGCTTAAATCTCTTTGAGAAGGTCACAAAGCAAGCTCACAACAGTTGGAAATATGGAGGGTAGGGGATGGGGTAGAATGCCTAATCTGTAGTCCTGTGCCTTACCCTCTTCTCTACGAGCAGCAGACAGGAAACTGAATACCAGCGAGAACCAAGTGAAAGTGATGCTCCTTATGAACTAGAAGCATGTCACCCTGGCCTCTACACTGTGTAAGTATTGAATCAACATAACTGCATATCCTCTGAGTACTGACATTTCTTGTGGTTATTTTTAAGGCGGTAAAATGCCGCCAATTTACCTCCTCAGTTATGTCCTATTATATCATCTACCACACTAAAACTGCATACAAATCAACCATCTATTAAGGATTTTAGTCTTTTTAATCCCAAGAAGCCACAAATTTCCTCAACATATAACAGTACAGAACTAGCAGTAAACAAACAGACTGTGATTGCATTCGATTTCTACTAATAAAGATGGAGAACTAATGAACAAATAAGGACAGTTCAAAGTAGCACAAATAAAGCCATCAATAATTACTAAAGGAACTCATTTCAGGATCTAATAGAAAGGCTTGCATTATCTCCACAATGTCCAATGATGTTTCCAAGATGGGAATATCAAAAAGTGTGCAACTACCTAAACTTCAGACTGTACACTAGGTGTTATGGTCTGATTTACCAGTCACCTGAATTGTAGAGATGCTTATAACTTGCATATGTGGTTTACGTTGAGAGAACTTAATTTACTATACTAAACATCAAAGAAAAATATGAGGAATTGAAAGTGTTGAAGAAAATAAGAGAATCAGCCTTGATTATGAAAAGAAAGCATGTTCAGAGGATTGGTCATTTGAGACCTACGTAAGCACTAATACTGGAACAGTTTCATCATTGCTTTCCCACAGTAATAAAGCCCTGGCTATACTTTCAGTGTTACTACGCATGGTAA